CCTGCCTTGTCTTTGTTACTCAGAACTGCCTTTGCTATACTAGGTCTTTTTTGGTTCCAAATGAATTTTAGGATTGTTTTCTCTGATTCTGTGATATATGTTGTATGCTGTTGATATTTTGACCAGAATTGTATTAAATCTGTAAAACATTTTTGGAAGTATCGCCATTTTCACTACATAGGTTCTTCCTACCCAAGAGGTAGGGCTATTTCCCATTTTTTGCTATCCTCTTTGATCTCCATTTTCAGACTACTTTTCAGTGTAGAGGTCTTTTACATCCTTCATTAGATTGATTTCTAAGTATTTCATTTTTTTTTTGGATGCTATTGTGAAAGGCGTCATTTCCCTAGTTTCTCTCTGAGTTTTTCATTCATGTTCCGGAAGGCTATTGATGTTTGAGTGTTGACTTTGTATCCAGCTATGTTCCTGAATTTGCTTATTAAATCTAGTGGTCTTTTAGTGGCATTTTTAGGGTCTTCTATGTATAGTGTTATCTGCAAATAATGATAATTTAACTTCTTCCTTTTCCTATTGTTATTTCTTTCTCTTGTCTAATTGCTCTGGCTAAAGTTTCCAGAAATATACTGAATAAGAGTGGAGACAGTGTTTTGTTTTGCTTTGTTTCTTTAGAAACAAAATTTCTAGATTTTGTTACTGATTTTACAGTGAAATTTTTCCATTTTTGACCATTTAGTATGATGTTGGCTATTGTTTTGTCATAGATAACTTTTATCAGATTGAGATAAAAACCATCTATTCTAATTTTCTGTATGTTTTTTATCATGAATGGGTGCTGGACTTTATTAAAAGCCTTTCCTGCATCAATTGAAATGATTATATTATTTCTGTCCTTGGCTCTATTAATAGGATGTATTACATGAATGCAACTTTGTTATAGAGGGTATATTTAGAACATAGTTATATGTATGAAAAATATACAACACATGTATCTGTAATTCAGCTGAAAGTTAAAATAAGTATTTTTCGAAATTATGGAGTACAGTCTTTTAAAAATATTTTTATTTTAATGAGTAGTAAATGAGAAACAAAGAAATAGAACAGTAGCAGTCTTCTAAATATTAATGAAATGTCACCACGTAAGACAGATAAGAAATACACTTAAAATATCTTTTTATATTGGTATTAGTTGGCTTTCCTGTGCTAAGAGTCAATATCCAACACTTACAACTTAAGGAAAGAGAGATTTAATTTGGCTCATGTTCTCAGGGGATTAAGTCTAGAGTTGGCTGGCTCCAAAGAAGAAATACGGAAGAGGAGCATGTCAGAGCAAAGCTGCTTAGTGGCATCAGGAAGCATAACAGGTGAAAAGTGTCAGAGAGAAAGGGAGTAGGGACCAGACACAGTACCCAAGGTTACACCTCTGTGATCTACTCAGACACATCCAGATGTGCTTCACTAATCCTCTCAGTGGCTCTCAAACCAATTTTACAAAATCAATTTTAACCATATTTTGCCTCATGTCAACTTGACCTACCCTTAATCTTCAAAATACACAATAATTGGTAAATAATTTTGCCTAACATGTTACAACTATGCTAAGTACAACTAAAATTGCAATAATCCCTTTCCCAAATCAGCAGTTCTAGCATTGTTAAAAGTCAAAGTCAATGTCCCTTCTGAGACTTAAGGAAAATTCTTAGCTGTGAAGCTCTGTAAAAATCAAAATCAAGTTACATAATCACAAGATACACAAGTAAAAATTTCCATTACAAAAAGGAGAAACAGGACAAGAAAATAGTCTAAGGCAAGGCTGAAAGCTAGCAAAACAGACTTTAAGTCTGGTAGCTCCTTATCTAAAATCTAGAGCACACAGTAGTGAGATGTAAATTGCAAAGGGCTTGGGTGACCTCACTCTATGTCCTTGCTGGTTGAAGCCCACAGCTTCTCTTGGGCTGGTTCTACTCATGGCCTTAAATTTTCCTCAGCAAGCATTCCACGTTCCTAGCATCTCCAGCTTCCTGGTGTCTCCATTGCACCTTTGGCTTAATTCCCACAGCTTCAGTCATTGTCATCTCAGGGCTCCTTGCATAGCATCCCAGGCCTCCTTTCAAATCTGAGTGGATGCCTCTTGACTCCACAACTCTTGCATTCTGCATGCTAGTAAAACCAGCATCACATAGATCATGATAAGGAATGCTGTCAAGGAAAATAGTAGCCAAGAGCTTCTCGACCATGGTTTCAGTGTCCCTTGAATGCCTGGAGAGGTGAACACAGTGAAATGAATTGTAGAGAGCCACTTCCCTAGGAGGCCCTTTTCAAGAAGGGTCCGAGTGACTCTTTTCAAATGAATGCCTTATACTTTTACATCCTTCAGCTTGGACTTTGGATGTCTCATTGATTTCTGAGACACCATCAAGGTATCTTTCTTCTTGCCTCTGTATAAAGTGTCTGGTTTGTTTTTAATGGTGATAATCTCTTTAGCACACTTCATTTGGCTCCAAGCTCACTTGGTGGTTCCTCTGGGAGGCAAAATTTAAATTTTTCAAATTGTTCTTGAGTTTTGTCCATGAGTCTCATTATAAATCTAGCTAAAAGTAGCTAGCAATACTCATGACACACCTTCAATATTGGGCTACCTTGAAATCTCCTGTAACAGAACAACCAGTCCTCCTCCCCTAACCTCAGTCTTTTTCAAAGTTCTAGCACAGAGCAAAATGCAGACAAATTTTGTCAGCGTTACACATGGGCTCTAGTCAAACTGCCACAGGAGTCCTTGTTACTAACTGAAACCTGAGCATGGCCGTTACTATCTGCATTCCTATCAGCCTCCCGGCCCTCTAAGAATCACCTATCAATTTGTACTTAGAGCATTCCACAGCTTTTCTTGCCTGCATCTGCAAGCTTTTCCAAATTCTTCCCATAAACCACTTCTACTGGTTTCTGAATCACATGGTAGTCACAACAAGCTCCCTGCTGCTTGTACCAATTTTCTGTTAGTTTTCCTGTTGCTGAGTAACAATACTTGACACTCATAATGTAAAGTAAGAGAAACTTAATCTTACTCATACATTACTCATTGGTATCCAATCAAGGGCTGGCTGGAAGAAACATCATGGTGGACAGGTATGGGTAGGGAAAGCTGCTTAGTTTATGGTAGCCAGGAAGCAGAGCAGGGTAATAGCACCAGAGAGGAAGGGGTAAGGACCAGACAGGGACCCAAAGGTTGGGCCTCCATGATCCATCCAGACACACTCAGAAGTGAGCTTTATTAATGCCCTCAGTGGCTCCCAAGCCAATCAAGTTGACACAGTGAACCTTAACCACGTTTTAGTACAAATTTGCCTAATACGAATTGGCCTAGTATGTGAAAATTCAGCCTGTTTTCTGTACAAAAACCTTCAATAATTCATTTTGTCATCATATTAATGCATTATTTACACTATCTTCAGCTTGTATAGGTCAGCGATGTGCAATAAAAATAGAATGCCAGCCATATATGTAAATTGTTTAATATCTACATGGATAAATGAAAACTAAGTGAGAAAGGATTAATAATTATCTTTTATTAACTAACATTCCAAAGTTATTCAACAGTCTATCAATACTGAGACACTTTACATTTTTATAGTATCTTTAAAATCCAGCTTTACATTTACAGTATACTTCATTAGACTCTAAAACTTCATCAGAAATCTTTGTTTAGATCTTGGTTTAGCCACTTGTGGCTAATGGCTACAGTACTGGAAAGTACATGTCTCAGCAGAGTGATTTTTGTTGCTCTCCACTTGCTAATGGAAGCTGTAAAGAAGTGCAATAGAAATTATTTTCTTGTAGAGGTTGTGGGAGACAGAGAACTTTGATGAGAATGAAGAAAAATGAAATAGGGTCCTTCAGGGATAATAAGTCTACCACATAAAATAGAACGCCTATTGAGAGACTATTCCCATCACCGTTATAGTTTGCAGACTACTTATTTTTAAAAAGACTACTATTTTGCAGACTGCTTATTTTTAAAAATTTGTCTGTAGAGGGGCTGCCCTCCATTCCATGCTGCTTGTATAAAAGGGGTAAAAGCTAGGGCTTGGTCTCAATCCAATTGTAATTTATAATCTTTTAGTCGCTAGAAATAAGCATTGTTTAATGAAATTTTTCTTGGAATGCTGAACCAAGAGTAAATCGGCTGATAAAATCCCTGTTTCCTTTTCCTAACACGTCTTCAAAAACTTTCAAAAACTGGTTATCTAAGTCCTCTGGTACATGTTCTACAAAAATTTCATCTAATTGGGGTGGTGGCGCACATGTGTAATCTCGATACTCTAGAGACTGAAGCAGGAGCATTGGTCTCTTTCAAAAAAACGAGAACAAAAATTCACCTAAATTACATGCAGAGACTGAAAACGAACTGTCACATAAAAGTGTACTGCTTTTATAAATCATTGCTGAGTAGAGAAAAAGGTGGCAATGTACATATTTTATCCTACTTTTTGCTTTATTTTCCTAATTAAGAAATAGAGGGGGAAAATAAAGCTTTCAACTGCATCAGTTTTTTCAGGACTCAAGAAAAACAATTTTTAAAAAGGACTCCTTGATTTGTCAAAAATGCATTAACAATAACTGTCAGTAAGAGTTTCCATTGTGCAAACAGCTTCAAAGAGGAATCCACATACATCGTGGAACGACAGGAAGGTCACACAGCTCCGCAATCCACAGCCTTTCACTGCACCGCCCTCGCGTTTGACCCCCACCCACACGCGCAGGTGCGCTCTTGGCAATGACAGGTGCAGCAAGCAAAAGCTCTAACAAAATTCAGCTTCGAAAGAGCTTACCTCTTCTACAGTACTAAGTGTAACAGGTATTCCGGCGACAACTTCCCAGAATCTAGAGTAAGCACAGCGCTCCGCCCCCACGGGAACCACGCCCCACGCCGGGTTCCCACGCTCCGGGAGGCAGCCGTAGACGCAAAGGGTCCAGGAGTGTGACACTGCGCGTGCGCCGAAGTCCCGCGCATGCGTGGCACCGAGCGCATGCTCAGAGATAGGCCGGCGGGGTCCTGAGGGGGTTTGGAGGCTGGCCCGCCCCGCCCCCGGCCTGGGCGCGGAGCTTCCCTTCCGCGCCTCGGGTGTCGGCTTCCCTTTCTGCGCGGGGGCGAGTGCCGTTGTTTCTTTCTCTCAGCTGGAGCGTTCTGCTGTTGCAGCTGTCCATGGCGAGCGTGGCGGTTCTGTGGAGCCGGGCCGTAGGGCTCTGCGTCGCAGGTAACCAGGGCGCGGGCCGCTCCGGCGGGATGCGGGGCGGGCGGCCTGGGCGGCTTCCTCAGGTCGCGGGGTCGCGCCGCCCCGCCCGCCCCGGACCCCGGACGGCCGGGCAGCCCGGGACGCCCAGCGCCGGGCGTGGAGGGCAGGCGCTGCCGGGCGTGCGGAGCCCGGGATGTCGGAGGATTGGTGCCGCGGGGCTGAGGGAGGGGCTCGCGGACGCGTCCTGCGCGCGGTCTGCCCGGGCGGGGGGTTTCCCACCCGCCCGTCACCCTGGCGGCCCGGGCTCGGGGTCTGCCCGCTCAGCCGCCTGCGGGGCCCTCGTCTCGGTGCCGTTCTGCAATGGGTAGCAGGGTGTATCTCAATTTTTTTTTCTATTTGGGAAAGAAAAACGGGATATTTTGTGAATGGGCTTTTGAAGTTTTACTGAAGAGTTAAATCCTGCTACAGAGAAGAAAACTGTAGAGATAGGATGTGTCTTTACTTCGAAAGAGCAGAGTAATGAAAAAGAACCTTGGGTGAAGATACGTACAAAGAGAAGCAATTTATTAGGTGTACTAGCTTACCTAGCGTTGCCAGTTGCAATATGACGGCTCGCAGAAGAAATGTTGATTAAATGAATGAACTGCTTAGGCTTTTGTATGTCTCATACTATGATCGTTAATGAGTTTTTGATAAATTGAAAAGCAAAGCAGGGGCTGGGGATTTAGCTCAGTGGCACAGCGCCTGCCTGGCAAGCGCGACGTCGTGAGTTCGATTCCCGGCACCGGAAAAAAGAAAAGAAAAGAAAAGAAAAGCAGTTTATAAATAACTTGGCATACGATAAGAGCGAAATAATAAATCATCGCTTATTTCTCTAATTTTTTTCTCCCGTTTTTTCCAGTTCTTTTACTTGATGTAGCTTTTTGTAAAGGATTTGTGGAAGATTTAGATGAATCGTGAGTATTCGTATATTTGAAATATTTTAACTTTGTCCAATTTAGATATTATCTAAGTATTTGCGTGTAAATCGAGTCTTTTAATGATATAGACTATAAAGACCAGTACTTACATAATGCTGAGTTGTTCTAGGTCCGTAAGGGCGAATCTTTTAGAGACCCACTGCCACACTGCAAACCAAAACACACTTTATCAGAAAGTCCCAACACTTCTGTGAAACCTGAATACTGAAGTGTTAGTTTAGAAAAAATAACTCATACCTTAACATTTTTTGTCTTAAAAGAAAAATACAGTCATATTCGCACCCCAGGTTCACCTCCACTGTTATAGGGGATAGGTATAAAGTGGGGGTATGCTCCAAAGAGTTTTGCTGATAGTTATAGAATCAAAAACTGGCACACTGTTCCATCCTCTATAGTTTTCGCTTGTATTTGTTGTTTCCTTTGCCTTCATCATACAGAGTGGGTAGTGGGATTCAGTATTTATCTTCATTGTGTCGCAGCATTAAAGACCTTGTGAATAGTAGGTGAGGAGTCTAGACCAAAATCCAGTGTCATACTGTAGGCAGTAACAGTGCTTTCTCCAGCAGGACACCTGAGAGAAAGTGCCGTTTCCACCCCAAATTTGGTACACAATGAGTGCATTGTCTCTGGAGGGACATGTAGTCAAGGACTCAGGCTTCCCAGGCTAGTCATGTTTATATGTGTGTCTACTGGTAGATTCATTGCCTCTATTTAAATGTAGGCTTTTGATTGGAGAACTCACTAAAGCATCTCCCAGACACCTTTGCAAAAACCTTACTGAGGTTCTTACCTGTGGGCACTCATAAAGGGACAGAAGCCTTTTGTTCAGCATGCCTCAGCAGTGAGATGCATTTTCCCATCTGTGTTCCATTCACCTGATTCGGCTGGTGCTTTTTTATGGGGGGAAATGGACCACTAAAGAGCTGGCACCCCTTTTGTTTCTTGGTTTGCAGTGTCACAGTAAGTAAATAAGGGCGTTATACGTCCAGTGTAGCTTGTCCTAATTGACCACATGGACATCTGATTGCGTAGTGTGATCAGGTGAATACAGTGCTGTTTTGGAAGTGACCCAGCCATGATAGTGGGTCTTGGAGAGTGCTTGCAGATTGTTAACACGAGCTTTCTGATTCTGAGGAAAGCCACTCTTAACAAAGAGGTAACTTTTTGAATTTAGTGGTGGCCTGCGCAGTATATCACTTCAGGCCTCCTCTTTCAGAGTGCCCTAACTTAGGAGAAGGAAGGAGGAGTTCTTTTCTTACTAATTGCTTTGTTAAGTGAATGCTCACCAGAAAGGCTCCTATGCTGGGGAACATTGCCAACAGCATACCATACTTGTTAGCAAAATGTGGGAGTTGAATTGTTCTTAAGATACCTTAATGGGTAAGATAAAATTTACAGGTCACTGAGTAAAAATTTTACATAAAAATTTATTGAAAGAATTTGTTCCATGGTCCTATTTTTTAATCAGTTTATTATCTGTACCTGTACAACACATTATGAAAGTGGACACAAAAAATTCAGAGATTTGATTTTTATTCTTGTTTTTAGGTTTAAAGACAATCGAAAAGATGACATTTGGCTTGTAGATGTGAGTATGTAAGTTTTATGTGTAATATTTATGTATAGTGAGTGGTTATGTATCTACTCTGTTTTGTCAGGTATTACTGTTTGAGTTTTTATATTAAAGGAAATCTACTTTAAGGTGTCTGGCAAGAAATTTTTGATGGAATTTGGTGGTAGGAACATTAAGAAGGGAAACTGTAAGCCTTTTAATGAGATAAATTTGTGGATTACGTCTTAGGGAGGGATATTATTATGGCACGAGTTTATTGTACAATTCTCTCTTGTTTTTTCATATTTCCAAGAGGTTGATTTTATTAGTATCATTAGTGGTCACAATCATTGTAATAGTGAATGAAATTAAATTTTCATTACTCTTCACTTTCAGGTTTGGAATATATTTAAACTTTATGATAATTGGGATTTGCTTTAATACACTTCATCAAAAAGTAGAGTAGCAGCAAAATAAATGGCATAAGAATGGCAGAATTGATGATTAGTGAATTGGCCAAAGAGACACAAGAGCTCACTATTTGATTCTTTCTCCTTTTGTACATGTTTGAACATTTCTATAGCATAAAGTTAAAAATAAGTCTTATTTCGTGAAAGTATAGTAAGTAATTTGTTACAGCAGTTTACTGGGGAACCTAAATATTGCCCACACCATTTAGGTATCCTAAAATATGAAAGGATGTGATTTTACCTTAATCATCCTGATTTGCTCCTTTGCCAAAGCGCTCATCCTGATAGCTCCCTATCCTATCAGTGGATACAGTAAAAGTCAGCAGAGTCATTTATTGTATTGGCATTGTTGTAACAGAAGTAGTACTTACCATTAATGTTAGGAGGGTGCATATGATGTGGTATATATGTATTTGGTGATTACCTTTTGTATACAATACAAATACAGTCACTTGGAAGCAGAAGCATTTTTATTTTGTAAGTTGTATATCTTTCAAGTTTCTAAAAATTATTTAAAGTACTTTTAAGTTTTGAAGTATATGCTAGATGTTAACCTATGTAAATTTACGTGTATCTTTTATCTTGAGTTATGCAACCACTTAAACTATTTTTAAGGTTTTTGTCTCTACAGATTATTAGTAGGTTATTTGGTCAGAAGTTTTTAAATATTAAGATTATCTTTCACAATAGTGTTAAGATGTCAGTGGATTTTTTTTCTTTCCGTTTGGATAGTTTTATGCCCCGTGGTGTGGCCATTGTAAAAAATTGGAACCAGTCTGGAATGAAGTTGGTCTTGAGATGAAAAGCATTGGTTCTCCAGTGAAAGTTGGAAAGATGGATGCTACTTCCTATTCCAGTAAGCCTTTACTTTATTATTTTACTGTTCTCATAATGAAAATATTTGAATTATATGCAGCAGAATTCAGAGAAGGAGGAAGAATTTTTTTTTTGCCCATTTAAAATTATCTTAATAGTTTAAGACTGTATACTGTATAAGTTAAGTGAATTAGCCATTGAGTACTAAATATACAGTATGTGCTAATTTTAGGCCTAATATAACATCATTTGTTCCTACTTTTTTTTTTTTGGGTACTGGGAGTCGAACTCAGGACCTTGCCAAGCAAGGTGCTGTGCTGCTGAGCTATATCCTCTCAGTTTTGTTCCTACTTGAGTCACCTTACGTAATCAGTTTACTTAAGGCACCTACAGAAAGTTGAATGTTAAACTGTTGATACTGGTATATGAGGTAAATTAATGAAAATTTGTGTGACATGAGATGTCATGATAGAGGCATAAGTGCGAAATTGAAAACTGAGTTTAGTTAGGATAAATGTGTGAGGATCAGGAAGGTAGGAAACAATATTAGAGCAAAATTCAGAGTTGAGAATGAGCTTAATGAGTCTTTACAGATAATGTAGAAGTAAACATGGACAAACTATAGCCCAGAGGCCAAATTTGTCCTGCTACAAATTTTTCTTAGTGGACTTATTGAAGTACAGCCACACTCGTTTACTGTTTTCCAGGCTGTTTTCCTGCTCCATTGTAATTGTGATTGAAACTTTTATTTCCCCCAAAGCCTAATGTAGTACTGGAAAGGGTTATGAACTATCTTAAAGCATTTAGAAAAGGAAGAATTAAGTTTAGAGAAGAAAAAGGCATCGTAGAAATTTGGAAAGAGCATGGCTTCAGACTGTGGGTCTGGCTCTGCTTGGTGCTTTTACTATGTAGCACTAGAGGGTTTCTGAATTCCCTTAAGCTTTGGTTTCCATATTGCTAAATATCTAAGTATAATGCTGTTTTAGTGGTTAGTTTGAATTTTGAATAATATAGCACGTATATGCAATCAAGTTCTCTTTTAATAAAGAGGTCTATAATGTATGTTTCTTCTGAGGAAGTCAGCTTTATATTTTGGATTGTACGTTGGAGCAAAGTAGACCAATTTTTTTAATTTCAACTCTTTCATGTCCTACTTTTTTGGATTTGGGAAAGTACTTCTGTTCATTTTAGTTTCCATGTCAGTAAGTGAAAGTGATGATCTTTAAAGTTGTAAGGATTATGTTAATATTTTAGATTCAAATCCCCTAGCACAATCTCTAGCACATGTATAGTGCTAAAGGCAGATACCAGATTGTTAAGAGCCTCCTAAGTACAACAAAGTGTTTTTCATTTTATAGGAATTAGTACATATTTTTGAGGTGGCAAATGATTTAATAAAAAATATGTCTTGGCATTAAATTGTAGGGTAAAAGAAAAGATCACTTTTGCAGGAGAGAGGATACTGTGTGTGCTGGTGTAGGGTGCTAGAGCTCAGGGTCACATGAAAGCAATAAAAGGAAGTGGAAAAGTACTGTAATTATTACTCTCATTTTTTTCAAGGCTAAAATCACTGATGAGGTAGATTGGCATTGTAGTTTAGACAAGGACAATGGGACATAATACTATAAAGCAGGGATAGTGAACCTTTTAAAGCTTTCAGTGGTACAAACAGCTCACTGCGGCGTGCGTGCCATAGATTCACCACCACTGCCATAAAGTTTTTAGAGTAATTGCTGAGCTGTACGACCACTGTTACATAGAAGGAATTCACGGCACATTTTCAGATTATAAACTAGTTTGAATTGGTAGTCTTTTGGTTCGTTAATGCTTGGGAAATAGAGAAGTGGAGTGTAGGTGGGTTGTTACAGCTGGAATTGACTTGAGTGGTAAATATTTGAAATGTTGAGGGAAAAGATGAATGGCAGAACATTGTAGAGAGAAAATAGCATGCTTAAATTGACTTTTCTGGCAATAAGCCTTTAATCATGCTAACAATGTTACTACTTTCTGTGATTGTTCATGAAGCTAAGTTCTGTGTCTAAACATATGTTGATTAGACATCCATGCATGTATTTACTTCTGAGTGCATTCATTTATTTATTCACTCAATTAATATTCATTTACTAACTACAGTTTGAGACATCCCCTACTGGTCTCTAGGGATTAAAGAAAGCTCCAAAGAAATCCTGCTTGTTAGGAAATGCTTACTGCCTAATAGAGGGGAATGGTGAACAAACCAACGAGCACAACATTTTAAAAATGGCAAATTATCACAGTCTCTTGAATCATTCAGTGGAGTAGTACTGTATAGAGAAAAGAAGTAATAGGAAGAAAATAGTCATTGAGAAAAATAGTGCATTTAAATTAGTAAAAATCTTAATGGTGAACTGTTCGTGTGATGCTTCTGTGATAATTAACAGGGTATGTTAAGTCAAAATTTATTGTTTAATAATTAGTATTGAGTTTCTCCATGTGCTAATTTTTGAGTGTCACTGTCATCAGGTGAAAAAAAACAGTTTAAGTGCTGATGATGTAGCTGAATTTTAGAGTTATTATAGAGCATGTGTAAGAGCCTGGGTTCTACCTTCAGCACACAAAAAAAAGTTTTTTTGAGTAGCTTAGACCGGTGTTTTAGAGACTGTGACTAAAAAACAATATTCTTACATTTTTGCTTTTAATTTGTAGTAACATTTTACTCTCTGATGGAACTTTATTTATCATAATCCTTTCAGAGGTTTAACTTTTGCCTCTAATGGCTTAACTGTTAGAGATTTTATTTCCTGTTCACTTAGCAATGTGTTTGTTTTATTGAATCAACAGAAACATTTTTATGGTGGCGGCTATGTAGGAAACATACATATAAATACATCAGTGCACGTGGACTATATAAATTTGGGAAAGGGAAACTGGTATACTGTACGCCAAGGACCATCATCTGCCAAGCAGTATAAGTATTTTTTGCACTTTACCTAATGTCCTCCATGGATATGGACTGCTGCCTTTCCAAACTTTTGTCCTTGTTAACTTGTATTCAGCCTGCATAGTGATAGATTCTTGTGAATCTTGTGGCTGTTTGAGTAATCCAAGTATGGTTTATTGAAACATTCATTCCTCTGTAGAACAGTTGTACGGTCAGCATTCATTCATGTAGCAGATATTTATTTAATGAGGGGTTACCTTTGACGAGGTTGCACCAGACATTAATAACATATCAGTTTTTTTTTTTGTTTTTGTTTTTTTTTTTTTTTTGGTTTTCCTCCGGTACCGGGAACCGAACTCACGACCTTGCGCTTGCCAGGCAGGCGCTTTTGCCGCTGAGCTAAATCCCCAGCCCTAATAACATATCAGTGAGTGAAATAGAAATTCCTGCTCTCTTGGAACTCACATTGTTATGGGAGAGACAAACAGTAGCCATAAACATAAATAAAATTTTACTGTGTCATGTTACTGACAGATACATTTTCCCCTACTTCTGTGGAAGAAAAGAATATTGTCTTCCTAGTATTTAAGAAAAAGCTGTTAAGTGTCAAAAATCACTGTCTAGAGATTACAAGTGGATTTTTGTCTTACAGTTCTCAGTGTTTTCTTTAAATATTTCAAAGCACCTCAAAATTTATAAATTTACTAAAATTTATAGTTAAATAGGTAAAGAAACTGTATTTTTTCAAGCCATCTCAACATTCACTATCATAACCATAGAATAGTAAAGATTTGGCTATTTCATAGACATCTCTTCCCTCTCTGTAGGTTGCTTCTGCTTCTTGTTCTGTAGCTTGTAGCCTGACTACCTCTGTTAGGATTACTTGGGTACTGTTTGTTCAGAGTCTAAAAACTTATACTGTCACTGCCAAACGAAAGTCTCTCAGATTGGGTCATGAGACTTTTTAACATTCATAACAGATGACTTTGCTACACACTTGAGTGGAAAACCACAGGTAGAATATTATTCGGATGGACAGATAGATTTGTAAGATTTTTGTTTGGAGTGAGAAAGGATTATTCAAGATGATCAAGTGTAGAGAAAGTATCTCAGATTCTTTGATGTAGCCTATTTGTCAGTCATGTAGTTCTAGTGGTTGAAAGCAAATAGAATCAGATTCAATCCAATAAATCTCTATGTATAGAAATTTTGAACTAGATAAATTTGAACTATTGAGATTTGTTTTCTGTGTGTTTGGAATTGGACCAAACTTTTTGATGCAATTTTAACCAGTACCACTATAATTGAATGACATTAAAAAGGAGTATAAACAGCATAATGAATTGAAATATATATTTTAGCCTCTTTCCCTTCATAAATGAGTGTTTAAAATGTTTCTTACTTAAAAGTTAAATTACAGTACAATGATCCATAATAGTATGCTGATTTCTATTGTGAAACCACTGGAATTTTATTTACACCCCAACCTAAATGTGAAATTGTTTTGTGGTACAGCTATTTTATGTCTCTGATCCGTAAGCCTGCAGTGGGATTTGGCCAATAATGTTCTTATTTTGACTTCTTGTTCATAGATTATAATTATAAATTAGTTTTACTTTCTAAATTGTAAGCTATTTCTGATCAGTGACTATACTTGAGGATTTCTCAGTCTTACACTATTGATGTTTTGAGCCAGATAGTTCTGGAGTCTTTCTGAGGGACTGTAGGAGGTAGTTTTCTGTGCATTGAAAGCTTTTTATCAGCATCTGTGGGTCTTACCTTCTAGATACCCCTTCTTTTTCTCTCTCTCTCTCTCTCTCTCTCTCTCTCACACACACACACACACACACATACACACGCACACACACCCGTACACACATTGTGTCAACCAAAAATGTCTCCATTTGACTGAGAAATACTACTTTATACTTTTTGTATGTTGGCCAGAGAGTGAAAGTCAGCAGATAACAGTACTTACACCTTTAAAGGCTTAAGAGATTGTGTCTTTTTCCCTGTCCAGCTTATAGGTAAAGCAACAGAAAGTAAATGAAGATGAGATGACTAATTTCACACACAGGAGTTAGAGACAGAATTAGGCCTAGAATCCAGTATCACCATACTTAATCTCCTCACCTGTTCTACTATCAAGTTGTTTCATGGAGCAAACAAATGATGTAGGAGCTTCTTCTTTAACCTCACTTTATGAGCATTTGAGATTATAAAATTTGGAGTTACTCATGTAATATTGTAAATATTGTAAATAATGTTGTAAATATTCTTCTACTTGTGAAGGAATTAATCTCACACTTTTTTATAAACTGTCTTATAATATGAAAGGTAAATTATAAAAATCTTAGACTCTTTTAGTTTCAGTCTTCCTACTAAATTCCTATTTTCTTTCAAATAACTTACCAAATCTTCCTAGGTTTTATTTTTAACGTGAATTTTATTTGATGTAAATTTGCACCATTTTTTCCTTCACTCAAAATTGTTTGAGATACAGTTGAGGAATATTAAAGCCTTTTATAAAATATTTTTACATGGATTGGTATTTTGTAGTGTTAACTATATCTGTACGTTGATGTATCAGCACATAATTACTTAACTGATCAAGAATGTTAAAAAAACTACTGTATATCTAACATTTAAGGATCTTCTTTATGCCAGACTCTGTGTTAGATTCTACATATTTTCTTGCTTAAAAATCTCACCTATAGCCTTGCAATGTGAGAAGTATCCTCAGAAGGGGAAGCAGAATCATAAACATGAAAAAACTCTTCTATGTTTGCATAGATAGAAAAGGGAAAAGTTAGAACCCTAATATAGGTCTTTATACTTTTACATCTATAACCCAGCCTGCCTGCACTTTTTATTATACCATGATTTCTTTCTAGGGAAAGATAAGGCTGATGAAGTTTTTAGGTTTTATTGTAAATTAAAATTTAGTAAGAAATGTTGCTTAAAGTTAAAAGTCCAAGGGAGTCTTTGGGTGGGTGATATTGTAGATATAAAAACTGAGATCACTCTAAAGCCTGTTATGCAATACATATAACACCATGAAATGCCGCCATTGTATTTTCCATTGGTGTTTTTTTTTTTTTTTTCATTTTAGTTCATTTGTACATGAATTGTAAAATAATTTCAATTATATGGAGGTATTACTAGTAAAATATAACTCCCCTATCAATTTTATTATTCTTTATGTTTAGGCAGTTTTTAGTGGGTTTTCACTGAAGGTAATAAGGGCCTGTGTTTGCTTACCTGTGTAAATCAGGGAGGGGGCCATTAAGATGAGTTTACTCACATAATCTCCCCAAAATCATTTCTGGATTTGTGCTTTGAGGAATGCAATCTAGATAACCACAGTCATATTCAGTTAGAATATACATGACAGAATTAAGTTGTAAGTTAGAGATGGGCGCAAGTAAGTTGTGTAATTGCTATAAATTCACATGCGCATTTAGAGGCATGACCTGGATCTTCACAACTTGAATTTTTGTTACCCCTGCTGTTAGTGGTGCCTCCAGTTAAAATAGGTGTTGGTTATTATGCAGACCCTTCTAGTCACCTCTCTCCATGTGTCTAAGGTACAAAGCTGAGAAAGCAAGGCAGAGAGATTTTGGAGATTATTTTTCACAGATTTACAGTGTCATTCTTGTGAATTCTTAACAAGTGACAAAAAGCTGAAAATTAATGAAGTTACTGAGGTAATTGTCAATCACAACCCAGAACTAGTGGTTTCCTTGTCCCAAGATGTTACGTATATAAATATCCTGGAAGTGAAGATAATGGGAGAGGGAGAAATTATGAGTAAATACACCATACGTTGCACTAACATACTTTTGTAAATGTATTATGTCATGTCCATTAACTGAAAATATTTATTTTTTCTTTCCTGTCCTGGTTTCCTTGAGTCTGTAAAGTACTGTAGCATTATAAATTGTTTTATTTCCCTGTTGACACTTGCTTTAAATATCTGTTTCTTCTTTCATCTCCTCAAAACAACAGTGTAGGAAATATTTCTCATTTTAATAAATGTCAAGATTTCAGGATACTATCCGAGATAATTGCAACTGTTTTAGGAAAAAGTGCAGAAATTTGTAAATTGTACATAAAGTTGCTTTTTTGATCATACATTGCTTGTAGTATTCAAGTACTTTGGAAATACAGTTTATGTTTTTAAAATTAAAACACACTGCATTTCTCTGAATCCTCAGGAAACAGTAAACAAAAAGGTGGGCTTTTCTTTTTTGCAGAGATGGATGAGGTCTGGGGAAGAAATAATTGTCCTGGAAGTGAAGTCAAAGGAGAAGTACTTTATGTACTGAAATTTTTTTTCCTACCAAAGTATCTTTTAAATTTAATACTCAAGGAATAAATTTTTAACTATTCTTTGGACATTTATTTTTTTATTTTGTCATTGTATTTTTGTAGCCCATTGGTTGGATTATTAAGTAATTATTTTATATGAAAATGTCATGTTTTTTCTTTTTCTTTATGAGTTTTTTTTAAACACTTAAGAGCAGCATATCTACATGGGTTTGTATAAATGTCTTTTTTTATATGAAAGGCTCATTTGTTACTTAGTTTCTCATTTTTAAAAAAATTTAGAATTATTTATTCTTTTTCTTATCAAGGCATTGCTTCAGAGTTTGGAGTTCGAGGTTATCCAACAATTAAGCTGTAAGTTGAGAGCTGTATGTTTATATGTGTATTTTTATAGTTTGCTCTTCTTACATTTTAGATTTATTTCTGGTCGTTTTTTTGGAGGGTCAAAAATTTGAGTTCAGCTATTTTTTTTTAGGTGAGGTTTGTGATCCAAGGAGAGGACTATTCCTTTGTGCTTTTCTCCATATTTAAGTAGTTGTGTTATTGATAGCTGATTCAGTAATGCATTTTGAGTCTGCCGTGGCTTGCACTGTGCAGGACAAAGGTGTACAGTCTTAAATTATCATAGCTCTCTCAATCTTGTTGGAACTCGGGTATGTGTTCTGCTTTGTCATGGTAAAATTCTGTCTCCTAACAGATTTAACTTTTGTATAATTTGATTTACTTCATTAGAGATAAAGAGAACTAAAATTCATGGGTGGTAATTCTAACCTGTAGTTGTTGAGCAAGTCTTACAGAGTGTACAAGTCAGAAGAACTGTTACAGTGATTCTAAAGGACTTTTTTAAATAATTGTGACCTATTGGTTTTTCTCATAATCTTCATTACCCTTATTTTGGTAATGTAAGGAGTTGAGGAATTGTTGTGAACATAGTTTTTATAATAAAAGTAAATTTTTAATAGTTTAAATTCTCAAATTTCCAATTTTGAGTAATTTACATGTATTATTTCTTGGGTTTTGTGTTAACCTCCCACCTTCCTCTTCTTCTAAGCCTCTTTTGTGTTAAATTATTTTTACCTTTCTCTTTAATTATAGTTATTTTGTTATGTTTCCTGATTTTTCAATTTTATAATATTGGTTAATTAGACATATAATTCATTGGCAGGGTTTTGGAGAATTGTCTAGGCTTTTAGAAGAGTTTTTATCAATTTGTTATGGTGGATGTTGGAGCATCTGTCAAGCAACTGATAGTGTTTTGAAGTTGTATAGATTATTCACTTTTCAGTAGTATAGATACAATGTAGCTATCAAATACAGTGTAAAATTTTTTCTGTAGTTCTAATAATAAACAGCTTTTTTCTATATATTGTAACTTGCTGATCCTGTGAAGCTGATTGCCTGTATCTTACATGAGTATACTACTGAAATCCCTCTGCATTTACTGTTTTATGTACTGTAAATTTTTGGTACAGTAGAAACTTACACACATTAAATATTAAGGCACAAAATAATTCTAGTTTTTACCTCTTTTTCTTTTCAAGATTAAAGGGGGACTTGGCGTATAATTACAGAGGACCGCGAACTAAAGATGATATTATTGAGTTTGCTCATAGAGTATCTGGGTAAGTTTTTATCAGTAAAAACCTTTATGATATCAGTATTTGAGAATTAGATTTAAAAAAAATTGGGGGAGGTGTACTGGGGAATTGAACTCAGGACCTTGCACTTGGCAGGTGGGTGCTGTGCCACGGAGCTATATGACTGGCCCTTAGAAAAATTTTTGGAGACAGGGTCTCACTATATAATCCAGGCTGTCCTTGAACTCAGTATGTAGCCATAGACTGGCTTTTGATGTAGGATTGTCTTGCCTCAGACTTCTGAGTGCTAGATTAGAGGCATGCATGACTTACACCCTATTGAAAATTAGATATATTTCAATAGATCATATTCAGTGCACATGTTTTATGGACTTACGTTCATATACTTGTTTATGAGAAGAATAGGATTATGTAGTACAATGCAAAGACATATTTTAAATAGAGACTGTTTTGTTTTATATATTGGTTAATCTCACATTTAAATTCACTTGTGTATAAAATAATTTTCTCCAGTGAATTTTTTGTTTGTTTGTTTGTTTGAGGCAGAGTCTTGTTACGTAGTCAAGGCAGTCCTCTTGCCTTAGCCTCCAAAGTGCTGGGGTTATAGGCATATGCTACCACGCTTGGCTTCTACAGTGAATTTTAATTTCCTTTCAAAATTTTGACTGCTTATAGTGTTCCCTCTTACTCATGGGAGGCACCTTTCCAGTGTTGCCTGAAACCATGGATGGGACCAAGCCCTATATATAGTATGTTTTTATTTGTATACCTATGAAAACATTTGAATTTATGAATTAAGCCCAGTAAGAAAATAACAGTAACTAATTATAGAACATTTGTAACATTATACTATAACAAAAGTGATGTGAATGGTGTCCTTTTTCTTTTTTCTCAGAATATCTTCTTATACTTTCATGAAACAATCCATGGCTTCTCTTTGGTATCCAAGTTTCCAGTATCCTTACTCCTGTAGCTGGGGTTCATTACTAGGTATAATAAGAGTTACTTGAACACAAGCACTACGGTGCCTCCACAGTGGATCTGATAACTAAGAGGGCTGCTAACTGCCTGATGAGCAGGTAGCACGCACAGCTTGCATAGCTAGATAATGGCATGATTCACCTCCCTGGGCCAAATGAACTGAAACACATGTGATTTCATGACATTACTCAGAACTGTGCAGAATGTAAGACCTATAAACTGTTTATTCTGGAATTCTGCATGTAATATTTTTGGACCATGGTTTTCATGGGTATTTAAAACCATGGAAAATGGAACTGTGGAAAGGAGGCATCACTGTAGCACTTTTGTGAATCTTAATTTTTATTATATCGTAATTTTGTTTCTGTAGTGCCTGGTTTATATCAATTTATATTCCTTATTACTGGATTTTGGAGTTCTAAGAGAACCTCTAGAATATTGTTGTGATAGACTTGGGCTTTTTCCCAGCGTGTGAAGCTGGAGAATGCATTTTAGGTACAGCTGAAATACTTTTTTCTTTTTAACATATCATCACATGCTTCTGTTTACCAGCTGTGAGGTATTCTTGCAATTTTTGCCTAATAGATAACATAGTTAAAACCTGAATTGTGTGTGTTTTTTTTTTTTATTTCCGGTACCGGGAATTGAACTCACGACCTTGTGCTTGCCAGGCAGGTGCTGTGCCGCTGAGCTAAATCCCCAGCCCCCAAAAACCTGAATTGAATTAAATATTTTTGAGGTTGTATTGATAAAAAACCAAATTTCCTCCATAAGCATTTTCTGTTAATTTGAATGTGGTTTTTATTTAAATCTGTATCTTAACTGCAGTATAAAGAAAATCACTGTTTACTATTGTTTAACACGATTACGTGAAACTTCTTAAAGAGACTATCAAGTGAGGTTAATTGATACTGACTTTAAAGTATAGGCACTTTCTTAAAATCTTGATGAAAAATACTGATAATCTTACAAAAATTTAAAATTAAGACAGAGCTGGGTGTGGTGGCACATGCCTGTAGTCCCAGCACCTAGGAGGCTGAAGCAGGAGGATCACTAAATTTGAGGCCAGCCTTGGCTATGCAGCAAAAGCCTGTCTCAAAAAAAGAAAAAAAATGGTTTTGTTGTGTGGTATGATACTGTCTCATTCACCAAATTAGGACTGGTCTTCATAAAGTTTGTGATACTACCGTAATTTTTACTGTTTTTTTTTTTCTCACAGTTGGCACATTTCATTTTCTGTATTAGCTTTGTGAATAAGTAAATATATGAGGAGAGTATTAGCAGGAAATACTTCAGTCCTCATGCTTGATATTAAGTCTTAATGTTTTGGTAGTATTTAATGAATTTTAATTCAAGTTTAGGGATTCTGACGTAACTGGGGGCGACTCTGTTACAAATGAAATTTCAGGAGTCAGTTCTGGAGTTGCATCACTTACTGGTTAATTACTTAGTATTAGAAGGGAGACAAATGGAGAGTGATGCAATGAGTTCTGACAATTGGAGCGCTGGAACGTTTTCCTTTGCAAAATGTCTTGTTCTTTCACAAACTTTTTGGAAGGGAAACCTGATGCTATATACCATATTTAAAAGACAGTCGGCCTCTTTTACTTAATGATACTTTACAGGTGATACTTCGATGTAATTTACTTGAGTCTGAAAATGCTTCTATAATGAAACTCTTTGAAAAGTTGTTTTCTCTGTGAGATTCTTGTGCACTATCATGACTGTCATTTTCCCTTTAATTTTCCCCAAAATAATTAATGACGTATTTTGAAACTTGTTTTAATCTCCATAGGATATTTTAAAACTAACATTTAAATTGACAGTATAGTGTTCTTAAGTACTGTATACTCCTGGGATAGCATGTTACAATGTTTTTGTGTAAATGTTCTTTTGAAAGGTGGAAAATAATTCTCATGTGAATTATTTTGTTTTTAGCTGGGGACTGTAAGTGGATGATGGTTGTTTTTATCTGTCAAAATATTGGCAAGGTTGATCCTCTCTAAAGGGATGCTTTTGAAACTTATTTTGTAACTGATAGATTAAAAAATTATTATGTAAGTTGTTAATATGTGATATAATTGTTACAGGCTGGAGTTTGATTAGGTTTATGTGGATTTGTTGATAAATTTAAAATGCAGTTGATAAGTTACTAAAAATTAAGACATGATTGGATGTAAATTTTGTGTTAACTTCAGTTCATGTACGTGTGTTTTCGTCTCAAACAGGGCTTTAATTCGGCCACTTCCAAGCCGGCAAATGTTTGAACATGTACGGAAGAGACACCGTGTATTTTTTGTTTACATAGGTGGAGAATCACCGTTGAAAGTATGAAATTATTTTTTAATCCACAAAACAGACATATTACAGTTTAATTTTCTGTATAACCATGACTTTACTAAAACTTCAGAACTAACACTCTTAACTAGAAATAGTTTGCTTTATATTTTTTTTTTATAAAATAAAAATTTAAATATTTTTAATAAAGAAAACACTTTATTGCACAGGCTGTCTGTTATTGGCTGATATGAAGCAGAAGTCAATAAAAAAGTGTGTAGATGTTTAGTATTTCTCCCATTACTGACTTAGTTATTTAAATCCTTTATTGTTTTTTATCATTTTAAGTCTGTAGGGCTACAAGCTGCAGTGTGAACGTCAGCTTTTTAAAAGTAGAAGACCATTGTCTAAATTTTATGTGGGCACATGTGTATACACTTACTTTCCCTGTAGTCGTTATCCTTATTCATATTCATCATTGTTAATATACCTGTAAATTAATAAATATTAAACAACCGTGTTTAGTCAACTTTACTTGGAGTAGAGTAAAACTTAGTTGTAGTGTTCTTTTGCCTCTGAAAGAAGTTTAAGTGATTTGCTTATATTTCATCTTTTCACCCAAAAGGGCATGTGGTGGTAAATTATAATGTTATTGCTTATCCCATAAGGTAGATCTGTTTAATGAGAGATAAATTTTGGTGTTTAATTAATGTTTTTAAATGACCTGTTTTGTATCATCACAGGAGAAATACATAGATGCTGCTTCAGAATTGATTGTATATACATACTTCTTTTCTGCCCTAGAAGAAGTCGTTCCTGAGGTAGTATTTAAAATTCGATTTTAATACATGATTCCATTTAAAAAAATGAATACTCATTTTTTTATCAGATTTAGTTTTTGTGACATAAGGAAAGAGTAAACATATTAACTGACTACTACTAATATCAGACTGCTTATAAGTAAGCAAATATCACCAGATTTATGGTATTGAGAGATTATGATTGTAAAATTGTGATATTTTCCCTTTAAAGCAGTAGCACTGCTGACAAATGATACCTTGAGTTGTTTTTTAAGTAGTAGATGGACATACATGTGTGTGCATAGATTTGTGTGTTGCAGGTGAGGTGTTTGGTTGGGACCTCATATTGAGATATAGGTGTTCTCAGTAAGTCTTTTTAACAGGATCTCGTATGTGCTGTGAAGGAAAATAAAAAGTGATGTCCTGATAATTGGGACATACAGGTGGGAGAGCTGCTGTACATTGATTGATCAAGGATGTATGAACTGGGACTTATGTGACAAGAAATAGCCATGCAAAATGTATCGAAACAGGGAACAGGTAATACAAATGCCCAAGATGAGAACACACTTGGTGTATTTGAGAGAAATAGTACCTGATGGGATTGTAGTGCAGTCAGGGAGAGAAATCAGTTAATTTTTGCAGTAATCTGTGATTTTGAGTTTGACAATTAGCAAAAGAATTGGGGAGAAGTTAAAAGATTGTTGTGTTTAGAAGATAGTATTGTCAGATTTTGATGAGATGGAGATAGAAGAAAAGGCTTGAACTGAGAATAACCTCTAATTTAATGGTTTGAACATAAGAGGTTGATGGTGTTCTAATAAACATGGGGAATATCGTGGAAGGAACCACTTGAGGAAAAAGAGAATGATCGAAAGCTTTGAATTTTTCACTTTGCTTTGGCATGGCTTACTAGGCAGCCAAGTACATGCTTTAGATGATCATTTAGATATAGTAGTCTATAGTTAAGTCAAGACTTATTGAATAAACTTAGACATGAATTGCAACTTTTTCAGAAAATAAAGAGGAAAAAATGAAAGTAAAGAAGGCCCAGAATTTGAAGACAGAAAAAGATAATAAAAAAAAATAGTTGGAAAATAAAATGAGTAGGAAGCCAAAATAAAGTATTTTAGAAAGGAATAAGAAAAAATAAAATTAAAAAAAAAAAAAAAAGAA